AATAAAAGTCAGTTGCAATGTTACAATGGTGTAAACAGATCGCTTAGTTTCGAAAACTCTGTTTATTCTAAAAGAAAAGCTTAGCAATTGTATAACGATTTTATGAACTGATGCATTAGTATGAATGAGAATGAGCTACAGTAGCTACACTGAAAATCTGACAAATTCTAACATTTAACCGCATATACTGAACTGAATATAAAGAAGCAGAAGCTTACCTTGTCCCCTCCTCATTACCATCCGCATGGGCGACTAATACCGGCCATATTTCACTGATGCGTGATCGAAATACTTCAATTGGCACAATATTGGTAGATTCGTGTCCAATCACCTAAGCAAAGTCATTGACCATCCGTCAAGTTTGATCTATCACGGCTTACCTCCTTTAATGCATGTAAAAGCAGATATTGTCTTTTCGGTTGCGTTTGGATTTCATTTAGGATGAAAGGAAGAAAGCGTGCGTGATTACCAACAGCAAGGGCACCGAGCGCCTGCGCAGCGGCAGCTTTTAGATCTTCCGAGTTGGAATTGAATGCGGGTATGATCAGCTTTTCAGGCCTAAGATCAGCTGGTCAGAGGTTTGCATAGGATTTTAACCACAAACGCATACTCAAGGTGAGAGTTTTCATATACACGTGGACAGCGGCGGCCCAATTCTCCAAGAGCATGTACGCTAAATAGACGAATCGAATCTGTGGATTTTTCATTTCGTAACTGATCAGCGAGTTTATCCGCTAATGAGCGAGCCTGGAACATATATGCATTGGATGACAACGTTTTTGCCGAAGCTTATGGCAAAACATTATACCTTTTCGATATCCCCACTGGCAGCTGCAACCACTCCAGTGGCGGCAGAGATGGACTGGAACGCCTGACGGGATAAATTAGGCACATCGTACACTGGTGCAGTTAACTGATCCAGCAACTCCTGCAAGATGTTAGAAAAGTAGCAAAGGTTAATAGCATAATGAACATTTACCTCGAATTCTGGTTTACCAGGAATGGGTTTGGATACAAGAGTTCGAATCATGTCTAATGAAGCTTGTAATGTTGCTCCCTGAAAGAAAA